TATTTGCATTTCAAATGACCCAGTCATGGAGATGTATGGTTTACATAGCAACATGATATTGTCATAACCATTAAAAATACAATTTTTATACATGTACAACCACTTATTTAAAAAGCTCATTGATTTTTGAAAAAATTGTTGTTCCTTGTCAGTCAAATTTCCATTTGTGTAAATACATGTAACTTGTGGGGGATTTGATAAGATGAAGTTTCAAAATGAAGATTCGTATTTGCATTTCAAATGACCCAGTCATGGTGATGTTTGATTTACATAGCAACATGATATTGTCACAACCATTAAAAATACAATTTTTATACATGTACAACCACTTATTTAAAAAGCTCATTGATTTATCACAGCCTTGTTTTTAACATAAGGGGCGCAGCCGGTCATATACAACGCCTTCAGTCGTGGACCTCCTTTTGTCCTCCTAATGTTTACACTTAAAGTTTTGGGAAAGAACCCTCATTGGTTTTGTACACGATTTTCAATCGTTGACCTTCACCCAGTCGAGGACCTTGTTGTCCTCTGTTTTTCAGGAAAGGTCCAACAGTTTATGTCAACATGTTACACTCACACACCTACACTGATACTGGAATTTGTAGTCATGCTTGTGGAGTCATTTCTTTGTTCTCGTGTACTTAAATTTTAGAATTTGAAAGTTTGCATGTATAGTTTCAAAATGCTCCTATTTTAACCAGAATTAATTTCTGGGCTAAAATTTGGACTAAATACCCCTTACATAAAATACTTCAATTGCCACATATCAACACACCTTGGAAATTCCTAGTTTTTGAATAAAATCCTTATATATAAAAAAAAGTTTCGTGATTACCTTGTGGAGACGTATTCATCTATAGGAATTGCTCTGTGGAGTGTATACAATCTTTTGTTGCTATTATACATGTATGTCTCCATAAGATAGTGAATTGTGAAACATGTTTGTTTATGATGTAAATCGAGGATATTCTATTAATTGTTCGTCATTATCGACCTTTTGTTTATACTCTTTAACTTTTTCGCAACAGCTCCCATATTGTACATGTTTTCTCTCGACTCCCGTCCTCAATTACTCGATGATGCTTCACATACTCGTGTGTCCTTGATTTACACCATAGACGTGCACGCTCATACACATACCACAAATCAACAGTATATCAACCATTGAAATCATATTTGTGACCTGTTCTGTCAAAAGCAGACGCTTCTGGGCAGAGGTTGAAATTGAGATAGGGCCAAAAAACGCTGTGGGGTTGATTTTTATCGATTTTCAAATTTTTGCATATTTGTTATCCTGAACATGTCTAAAATTTATTATAAAAGTTTGAAACCCTAATTTGAACTATTTTTGATGATTTTGATAAGGTATATCAGTTAAAGAAATAACTGTTTTGTGATGTTCGTGGCCATTTTCTCCGTTTCTACATTTCGACACAATGAACTTCAAAATAGCATTACTCTGCCCAGGAATGACCGGTTTCAAAAATTAAACCACCTACCGTATTAAAAGGAAAAAGAATATGTTAACAATATGTAAAAATATCATTTTCGACCTTATGCCCAGAAAAGTCTGATTTTGACAGAACAGTTCACATTTGAGGACATCATTTCATTTTTGTAATTTTATGAATCAATTTCATTTTGTGGCCTCTTCCAGACAGCAGAAACAGCTCGACGCTATCCTTTTTACTCGTTCTTACATGTATGAAGCAGTGTTTCCCGTTCATGGAAACGTCACATAGCCTTCAAAGAACTGAATTGTATTCAGAAGTGGGCGTGACGGATCTTTTACAAACACTCTTTGTCAGTTCTGGGTTCATGTAAAATATAGGCCATCTCATATACTTGTTTTTTTTTGCCTCATACGTAACCTAGTCACCCGCCCACCCATTCCTAACCACCATCATCAATCTCCAAAACCTCCTTCCCAGGGATTTTTGTCTTCCCTGTCTTTTTTTTTTCTCCTTTGGAATGTAATTTCTGCAAAGTGCTCGCCAACAAAAGCGAGGCAAGTCGTCGATCCCGCTCAAATTACCGGGTTCTGTGTCTTCGTCTGCTCCCTCTTGAAATTGAGGGGAAATGGCAGACAAGTCACAAAAAGAAGAAGAAAGAAAAAAGAAGAAGAAAAAGAACTAAAGATTCACAGAACGATACATGCACTTACTGTACCTGTTAATAATGACATTTGTTAGAGTCCCCCTGGAGGACGATTTGTTAATTTGTTTTCTGCAGGGTACCAGTTGCATCTGCTATCCCGTACTGTGACCCACAATGTCGGGCCTGGTTTCCTCTGCAGAAATGAAACTTTTCAGATTTTAATCTGAAATCAGATTTTTTTTTTACTTTTCCAATGAAATTTCAGATTTTTTAACGATCCCACAAAAATGATTATTTAACAATTTTTCCACGAAATGTTTTTTTTTCATCTTAATTTCCAAAAAAAGTCCATGAAAAGTCGATGAAAACGGCACATGAAAATGTGCACAAGTGTAAAACACCTAGAACAACGCTGATCAGATCCTTTTCTGACTGGAGAAAAAGGTTAAATACTGACCTGTGACATGGAAAAATTCACTGGGTCCCACGTTGATGCACTGTTCTGCACTGCACTGGCGACGCTATGGCAGCTCCGATCCAAGGTCCAATTTCAGATTTTTTTGCCAAGGCCAGTTTCATCTGTGCCTCTGGTCTGGTTTCTGTTGGAAACCAGGGTAATATTCAGCTTAAAACTGTTTTATCCCGAATGCTACAATGTACATACCAGTACTAAAATTGTGTATTTCAAATCTATGTCCCATCAATCTATAATATGACAAAATACAACAACATATTGCCGAAACAAATTTCATGCATACAAATAGCTCATGTTTTTTGTTTTTTTTTAGTGAATTACATGTAGAGAAATTGTTGCAATAGTAAGAACAGACTTGTTTACATTCGACTTGACGACAATCAACAAATGCTCTTTTGATTGGGAAAATCAACTCACAGAACCATTGATTTGCAATTTTTTTTATATGAAACTTGTCACTTTGGCACTCGGGCATTTATTAACAAACATTTATTTGAATAACACGTCCTGCTGTTGAGACCTGATTTCAAAGTCTTTCATCTTTCTATCGTCATTTGTCATTTACAAAAGGGGAAAAAAAAGTGAAATTTCGCAGTGACTCATGCTACTACTTCAGGATTTATTTCTTTGGACATTAATTCCCATCGTACGAGCCCTCTTGTTGTGTGAAGTGTTTTTCGAAATGGCGGTGGGTTGCTGACGTCAATACGACGTGATTCGGTCGTTGTTGGTTCGGCCATATAGTTGTAGAGTTTCCTACCTACCTCCCCCCCCCCCCCACCCACCAACGACGGTCTGTAGCACGATGTGACAAGCATCAGCAATGCACGTGATCAGGTCTCCGTCTTTTGGGGGTTGGGCTTGCGACTATAATGGCCATTTATGCTGCTCACGGATTGTCTTGTGTGGATAGGAGAGATGCATTGTGGGTGCGTTAGCAGTGGACACGCATAGGGACGTCAGGTTGGTGCAACGGAAATGTGTTAAATCAACACATTGATCAAGTGGCCGGGGGGGGGGGGATGTGGTCAGGGGATTATTCTGAGTTACTCCATACATGTAAACACGTAGCAGTTAATATACCTAGAGTATTGTCATGTCTAAGAAACAAAATTACACTGTATAGTGGGGTACAGGCTTAACCCTATGTAAACATACATTCTGGGCTAATTGTCCTTTCAGTAAATCAAGTGACTGCTTTTAACACTTTAGAGCTCCTATAGCCTTCAAACAGGACTGACTGGATGTGACTGTTTATATTTAGTAAGATTTGAGGCTTTGCATGGTGGAGATACTAAATAATGAAAGGTTTGCAGAAACACCATGTGGGAATAATTTCTCAACTAAGAGAATGGTTCTGAAAAGAACCAGAGGTATAAACTCAACGTCCCGGTCAGTATGCTACATACATGTAGCTACTTGGCATCCACACATGATGCAACTTCACACTTCACCAATTTTGCTTTTGCTACTTAGTGTTCACTATCTTAGAGTTTAGGCACTCTCCTGAAGACAGTCAGAGCACACTGACCGGAATGTCGAGTTTGTACCTCTGGTTCTTTTCAGAACCATTCTCTTAGTTGAGAAATTATATAACTTGATACAACTACGGTATGCTTTGACTGTAGGTGATTAATAAACCATTTGTGCCTACCACTTGCCTACATTTGTCTGTCGACTGAATTTGACTAGTCATAGTGCTCCTGGATATGATCTGACTGTAAACAGTCTAATTCACAAGTGACAATCAGTCACTGAGATACCGGTAGGTAACCAGTCTAATTGACAGTCAGTCAGTGAGATAGGTAACCAGTCTAATTCACAAGTGACAGTCAGTCAGTGAGAAAGGTAACCTGTCTAATTCACAAGTGACAGTCAGTCAGTGAGATAGGTAACCAGTCTAATTAACAAGTGTCACTCAGTCAGTGAGATAGGTAACCAGTCTAATTCACAAGTGACAGTCAGTCAGTGAGATAGGTAACCAGTCTAATTCACAAGTGACAGTCAGTCAGTGAGAAAGGTAACCAGTCTAATTCACAAGTGACAGTCAGTCAGTGAGATAGGTAACCAGTCTAATTAACAAGTGTCACTCAGTCAGTGAGATAGGTAACCAGTCTAATTCACAAGTGACAGTCAGTCAGTGAGATAGGTCACCAGTCTAATTCACAAGTGACAGTCAGTCAGTGAGATAGGTAACCAGTCTAATTCACAAGTGACAGTCAGTGAGATAGGTAACCAGTCTAATTCACAAGTGACAGCCAGTCAGTCAGTGAGATAGGTAACCAGTCTAATTCACATGTGACCATCAGTCGGGGAGATAGGTAACCAGTCTAATTCACTAGTGAAAGTCAATCGGGGAGTCAGTCAGTGAGTCGGTCAAAGATGACGCCAGGCAGGCCCTCTGTGACCAGCACAAATTGAATAGTAAACTTATGACCCAAGACTTAGCAGTATGGCACAGCTGGAAGCAGTCAATAGAGTGGACATATATGATGGAGTGTATATTAGATGATGCTAACGTCATCTGTCATTCCTTATTGGCCGCTGAACAAATCAGCCAATGAAAAAGAAGGGGGGATATGATGTTTTCATTCCTTGAGTTCAGAGTTGGAATCTCATCATATGGTGAAGTGCTCATAACAGCAACAAGGCATGCATATTGAGAGTTGAAGCATTCCTTGCTACTTCACTGCTGTGTTGTCCTCGATAGTTGGTTCTCTCATACCCGAGCGATTGCACTTTTGTGGTTTAATAACGCGACTGACTTGAGCTGTTGTACCGGTTAGATTGGTCATCAGCACTAGCTTGGGAGTCTTCCAGATCATCACTTGTGGCCTTTTGGGACTCCTGTGTTTATTTCCTGGCTGCGTTATGTACGGTACTGATACTATGCCTCTGGTAAGTTACTCAGTAGCTTTTGTTGTACCGTATGGTTGGTATGTTGTTTTTAACTTCCGATTTACACAGTTTGTACCAACTGTTGCAGGAATGTTTTAAAAATGGGTTCTTTCCTCTGAAACTGTGAGTTTGGGCTAGGTGAGTTTGGATCTGTGAATCGTGATCAGAGGGTGAGGAGTTCGAATCCTGCTGCTGGCCATACTACCGGTAGTGTGTTGTGTCCTTGGGCAAGCCACTTCACTACAACTTGCCTCTCTCTACCCTGGAATATGAATAGTTGCAGTGTTAGCTTGGGGGTAACCTGCGATGGACTGGCATCCAATCCAGGGGGAATATATGTAGAAATATTCTCAGTTGTTTCATGCCAAGGAAACGGAGATAAACGCTGACCTGATGGGCCGTATTGGCTTTTGACTGACTTTACTGTTTTATCTACAGTACATGTACATGTAATGTATATGAACGTGGAGTACCCTAAGTAACAAAAATTGAAGTTTTTAGATGTGTAATCACTAATTGAAACAGGGGGAAAGGCTTTCTAATGTTTCACAGAACAGGTATCAGTTTCCCCTTGAAAGTTGGAAAAATCTGAAATATACAAAAAAGTCATCAGAGAATTTTGTCCTGAAAAAATTTGTCGCTAAATGTTTCTCAAAGAACTAGGCACCAAATGACACCTGCACATCCTATGCATTAAGATATTACTTTAATACGGAATCACGGTCGAGTTTTAGCTATGTACGACATATCAGATATCACTCTGAGACGTTGAGAATTTTTGAGAAAGACCTGTCGACGAAGCTCATCTTTCAGACATTGTTCTGTGATTTTCTCAAAAGTGCAGTATTGGCTCTTGACTGACTTTACTGTTTACTTTTTTATCTATGAACGTGGAGTACCCTAAGTAACAAAAATTGAAGTTTTTATGTATGTGTAATCACTAATTGAAATAGAGGGAAAGGCTTTCTACTGTTTCACAGAACAGGTATCAGTTCCCCTTTGAAAGTTGGAAAAATCTGAAATTATTTTAGAAAAAAAAGTTATCAGAGAATTTTGGCCTGAAAAAGATTTGTTGCTCAATGTTTCTCAAAGAACTAGGCACCAAATGACATATCCTGTGCATTTAGATATTACTTTAATACGAATCACGGTCGATTTTTCAGCTATCCATGTATGTATGACATATCAGATATCGCTCTGAGACGTTGAGAATTTTTGAGAAAGACCTGTCGATGAAGCTCATCTTTCAACCATTATTCTGTGATATTCTCAAAAGTGCCTTTAGATAGAAGGGCCTGAGTTGAAATCAGAACTGTGTTTCGTAAAAAGACGATGCCAATTAAAATTAATTACTAGCATCCCAGTGGCGCCACTACGTAAAACTGACACCGGCCAGCCATTTTCTGTGCATTAAAGGTAATATGATGTACCGTACATCTATGCTTTAGCTGTAATTTTCATCAGAAATGGATGGATTTGGGGGTTAGTATTTTATAGCAAATATTGTTTTACTGACCTGTTTCAAGTTTTGTGTTCATAGATGCTGTAAAAACCAACCAATTTTTTTTTGTTATTATAGTCTGGTTCCCTGACCCTACTACAGACAAAACGAAGAAATTTATAGATGTCGGAGAATTGTCAGGTCAGGGAACCGGACTAGCTGGCTTGCACTTGTTCACGGATGTGTATTATCAATTGCAAACAAAATGTGGACTTACGAAATCTGGTAAACTTGGGGCGGTGTTTGAAAAAAGTTAGTTTTTTCCAATGATGATCAGCCAAATTAAGACGATACACAACATTTGCAAACATCAAAAGTACCAAATTATTATGAAATACCTTACTTGACTGTAAGTGAATAATAGCCTCAAGCATCTTGTGAAGTCATGGCACCTGGTGTGCTGTCATTTTCAGGAAAAGTGGAATTTTTTTTGGTATCAACTTCCTTCAGAAGCAAGATGACGGTTTGAAACCTTTACACCGAAGTTGAGACATAGGATTGAGGATCATAAATTTACCAAAGAATAGGAAAAAAAATAACACCTTCACATTTTTTTGGGAGGTACGTGTACAGTTGTACGTGTTCTACATAACCCCCGAAGACCGACACACACAGGGAGAACAACAGATCCTTTCAGTCCTCGGGAGTTGGGTCTTTTGTTGGAAACAGTCCTCTGTAGTAAACGTGTGTACTTTGTCTATGGGAGAGTGTTATATTACAGGGACAGAGGGACAAAGCATTGTCCTCGAGAGTATAGTAAAACATGACTGCATGTACCGGTACCATATCTCCATTTCAAGCTTTGCCAAGAAATATCTAATGTTGACGGAGCACGTCACATATTTCCAAACCTATCTGTGAAATTCCTTCAAAAATCCTAGACTATCGTTTCTGGGACATGAACCCCTGCTTCGTTTAGGGACACATATTTTTTTTCTACTCCTCTGCGAAATTACCTGAACAGAGAACGGAAACTGGATATGGATCGGGCGTGGTAACCATGGCAACCGCACAAGCGAGGAGATGAGCGCTCGAGTACAGGTGTCCGGCCCGAAATGAAAACATTGTGCCACGAGTCTGGTGATGATGTTTCAGTTGAGCCAGCCTCATCTGTGATATATGCGTAGCATGGCCCGGCGGGCTCATGTTGCCTTATTGATTCCAAGCCAGAACCCTCTAGAGAGTTAAAGAGTGCGCGTTACAGTTATTGAAGACAGGAATGTTACATGTATGAGCTTTTAAAGGGAAGATACAACATTTGCAAACATCAAAAAATGAAATGATCAAATTATCATGAAATACCTTACTGAATTGTTAGGGACTGCAGTCTAAAGCATCCTGTAAAACTGTGGCTCCTAGTGTGCTGACATTTTCAAGAAAAAATGTATTTTTCCAACGCTGGTCAGCCCAGCGTTGGAAAAAACTGGCTTTAAAAAAAAAATGCTCCTAGTTTTTCATATTTAGTTATTCCGCATTTTCTTTGCAATTGATTACACACTTGCGAGGGGGTACAAGCCTGCTATCCTGATTCTTTGACATTACAATTCCCCAAAGTCTATAAATTGCTTCGTTTCATCTTAAGTGGGGTCGGGGAACCAGACTACAAGAATATGATTGGTGTTCTTGGTTTTTTGAGCATCTAAAAGCCCAAAATGTGAAACAAGTCAGTTTAGGCAAAAAAAAAAGTCTCCGGTTTCTGGTATGCGCGCGCGTCGCCTTAGCCATGCGCGTCGGCAAAATGAAAAAGTTTATTTTTCAATAAAAGATGATGTCTCAAAACCGCCAAACTCACTGGTTTGACTGGAATCCTGCTGCTGCACAGTTTTAACGTGTTTTTAGATGGGGTTATGATCGAGAATAAACTTTATGTGGCCTCTCTGGACTCCTATTATATTTGCACTAAGTTTAGTTGGGCACCATTTGCAGTCATCAGCCAACATTTGAAGCAAAAAAAAACAGGTAAAAAAAAAAAAAGCCGCGTCGCCGCACCACTTTTTGGGCAAGCTCCATACCAGAAAACGGAGCCTTTTTTTTTTGGCCTTAACAATATTTGCTGTAACATACTAACCCCCAAATCCTTCCTTTTTTGAAATTTACAGCAAAAGCAAATGTTGTATATATTCCCTTTAAAGCATCACTGTGTTTTGACATTTAGGATCTCAGAGGCATATCGGATCATTTGTATTTACCCCAAAAGTACATGTAACCTTTCAAAGTATTATCAAAACGTTTATTTGGATCATTCTCAAGTTGTCCTTTTCACTAAGTTTCAGTCAAAATCAATCAAGTAACTGACAGTTTTCAACAGTTAAGAGCTCCCAGCCTGCATCAAGCAGGATTGACTGGCTGTGACCGTTTATGTAACTTGATACAGCTGTGCTTTGACTGTAGGTGATTGATAAGACAGCTGTGCTACCAGTTTCCTGCTTTTGTCTGTTAAATGAATTTGACTAGTCAGAGTGCTTTCTGGAAATTCGATCTGGCTGTTCGTGACTACCCTGTGTAAAAGGCATGGCCGGGAATTGGATGGAAATTTTGACTGTCTGTGACTGTTCAAACAGTGGGAGGGTTAAAGATCGTACTGGTACTACACACTCCGTAAATTTTATTCCGCCAGCTTGCTGTCATTAAGAAGAACTGATTTCCAACAATTAGTCAATTTACTGATCTTACAGACCAGCTTTTAAGTCTTGTTTTTACTAATGATCGCGCTTGTGCGCAGACTCCCTATATGCGACGTTTCGTTATGTCTGCTCCTGGAAGTCACCTCATCGGAGCTTTTAAAACGAGATGCATTTTTCCCCACAGCTGTATCCTTGCTTACGAGTGCGCCATTTGCCATGTTTGCTGTTCAAATATTTCAGTACCCTGAATGCTTTAGTCAAACGGCCAGAGGCCGAAACGGAAATTTATACAGAGATATACAGTGTATCTTAGTGTCCAGCCTGCATGAGGTCCCATAGCAGACAGAACCCTGGAGCATCGGCCATATATCCTCGCGCCACGACGCCACTACGACAAGTCCTTGAGCCTTATCTCAAGGGCTGCTTGCCAGATCTAATTGAGAGGATGGTCGTACTTGAGTTCCTTTTGACAAGACAAAATGGTCATTTTGCGCAGGTGTCGGAGATGGGAATATTGCAATATGTGTAAAATATGTCGTTGTTTGAATGAAAACCGTTGTAGTACTCAAATTTGAAGAGGAGAATTTGATTGGTCTCTGCTTTATTGTGTAGTGAGTTGGCTTCAAATGTGAATATAATTGGCTAGCTAGCGTTTTGGAAAACCATTCAGTTGTTTCAGAATGGCTATTCACTGGAAGTCTATTCATGTATCTGGTCTACACAGTCGGCCGGATTTAGCTCATTCATTGCCATTATGGGGTGATCCTATACAATAGCACTGCCCGGCCCTCTTCACCAGCCAATAACCAGGCTACGTCACCAGTGACAGCCAGTGAGCGAGTCAGTAAGTAAGATAAGTACTATGTGTCCAAAAA